CGGGCCCGCACACCACCCGGCCCGCGCCGCGACACCCGGAGCCGCCGCTGCAACTCCGCCCGGCCCGCTTGCAGCTTCCCAGGCCGCCAGCTCTGCGGGGTGGGGCCTGCCGCCGGAGGCCAATCACAAGGCGTATGCAAATAGGGGGCGTGGCCTCGGGTGAGGCCCTTCCTGGTGTCCTGGTCTGGGAATTGCTGGATCAACCCTCTGTCCTGCTTTCTTTTTCCTCCACGTCCACGTCCGACTTTTGTTTACGTCCTTCTGAAATTATTTTGTTTACTTGTTGCCTGTCCTGGCTTTCCTGAGAGCAAGGGTCTGTCTGTTGTCCACAGCGGTCTTCACCGCGGAGAACCGGCTTGACCCACGGGTACATTCCAAGAATGTTCTTTAAAATGATATTAATTTACAAATACCTTTAAGTGGCTCAGGATTGGGGGTTTGATTACTGGAGAGAAGAATGGGGGTTAAGAGCTCTTGTTGAGAATCTGAGTTCGGGTTTCCGTACCCATGTCAAGCAGCTTGCTACAGCCTGTATCCCCAGCTCCCGGGGCAATCTGACACCTCTAGCCTCTAGGTACCTGCAATCACATGAACCTTCACACAAACACAAGGTTGGAAAGAGCAGGCACTGTGGCTCCTTCCGCTGATAACAAGACTTGGGAGGCTGAAGCAGGAGGATTGTCTTGAGTTCCAGGCCAAGCTGTTTTACACAGCATGTTCCAGGCCAGACTAAGCTACAGTGTAGGAGTCTTTCTGTAAACTAAACTAAGCAAAACTAAACATTACCTTAAGGGGTCTGAGGAGATGGCTTGGTACACTAAAAGTGCTTACCAGTTTAAAGAGGCAGGCGGATCTCTCTGAGTTCAAGATGAGCCTGGTCTACAAGAGCTAGTTCCAGAAAAGCCTCCAAAGCCACAGAGAAACCCTGTCTCAAAACTCCCAAACCCCCCAAAAAAGAGAGCCTTAATTTTGATCTGGAAATTGCTCAACAGTTTAGAGCATTTGTTGGCTCTTGCAGAGGAATCCATTCCCGGGACTCATATGATGGTCCAGAAACATCTGTAATTCTGGTTCCAGGGATCCATTCTCCTCTTTAGACTTCCTTGGGCACCAGGCACACACATGATGTTGATACATACATGCAGGCAGATACTCATACACATAAATATAGGTAAATACAGACATATATCACCTTTTTGGGTGGCAGGTTTGAGACGGATTCTCTGTGTAGCCTTAGCTGTTCTTGCCTTTCCTGGAACTCACTCTGTAGACCAGGCTGGCCTTGAACTCACAGAGATCCACTTTCCTCTGACTACTTAGTGCTGAGGCCAAAAGCGTACACCACCACTGCCTGGTAGAAATATAACACCTTAAAAAAAGAGCTTGACTGTTTAAAACCCTGTATATCTGGAAACAGGCTGGAAGGAGTGAAAGCTGAGGATGTTTTCTTGAGTTCTGGTCTTTCTCCCTTGAGGTTCTGTTTCTTATTGCTTGAGACGCAAATCTTATATCCAGTTACACCCTTAAAATCAGCAGTTTAATCCATCCAAGCATTTCTTCCTTCAAGGAGTTTTCATATTCAAGCATTCATTAAGCTTGCTTTTGTTGAGACCCATCATGTGTGGGCATTGTTGGAGCACTCTGAGTATGTGTTGTGATATACCCAGTAAACGACCTGTATCCAGAGTACAGCAAAACCTGAGAATCCAAAGGAAAAAGGCATAAGGCCAGGAGGAAAATGTGTAAAAGACTTGACAATTCCCAGAAAGAAATATCCAAATGGTACTCAGTTTCTTTAGACATCAGCAAATGATAATTAAATCCACAATGAGGTACCACTATTTCCATGTGCTTGGGTCCTCCAAGGCCCATGACTCCCTGAGTGGTGGTGTCAGGATGTGTAAAAATACTTGAGATAGCCGGGCGGGGGTGGCACAAGCCTTTAATCCCAGCACTTGGGAGGCAGAGGCAGGCGGATCTCTGTGAGTTCGAGACCAGCCTGATCTACAAGAGCTAGTTCCAGGACAGCCTCCAAGGCCACAGAGAAACCCTGTCTCAAAAAAAACAAAAACAAAACCAACCAAACAACAACAAAAAAAACCCTTGAGACATGGATAAGTACTGAGTATACGTGTGTGTGTGTGTGTGTGTGTGTGTGTGTGTGTGTGTGTGTGTAGGAGTCAGGCCTGTGCAGCAAGCGCCTTTGCTGCCGTGCCGTTGGCTGGCCTGAGCTTCAGGGTTTTAAGTGTAGAACTCCACAGGGTTGGACACACGATGCTGAGCAGCATCACCACCGTCATCTACTGAACGCTTTGCTTACCGTCAAAGCGAAGCTGAATCCCTCACTCCCTGTGCATTGAGATGTTTTGGTTTCCATTCTGCGTGCTGGTTGCACGGCTCATTTTGGGAAAATAGAGGTCTACTTGAACACCTAAGACGAATGCATATTTTCTGAAGACATAGCTTAAGGAAATAAGTAGGGGCTGGAGAGGTGGCTCCGTGTAAAGAGCACTGACTGCTCTTCCAGAGGATCCGGGTTCAATTCCCAGCACCCACATAATGGCTCACAACTGTCTGTAACTGCAGTCCAACACATTCTTCTGGACTCTGCAGCACTGCACGCATATGAATGCACAGACATTCGTGCAGGCAAAACATCCATGCACATAAGAGTAAAGGATAAGGGCTGGAGAGATGGCTCAGAGGTTAAGAGCACTGACTGCTCTTTCAGAGGTTCTGAGTTCAATTCCCAGCAACCACATGGTGGCTCACAGCCATCCGTTATGAGATCTGGTGCCTTCTTCTAGTGTGCAGATATACATGGAAGCAGAATGTTGTATAAATAATAAATAACTAAAATTTAAAAAAGTAAAGGATAAAAAGTAAAGGACATGGTGATCCAAGTCCAAACTCTCCATACTCATGAGGCCAGGCAGGCAGATTGCTGGAATTTGAGGCCTGCGTGGTTTGCATAGTACAAGGCCAGCCAGGGAGACATGGCAAGACCCTGAAAGCAAACTCTGAAGTCATTTTGAGCAACAGAGGGCAAAGGAGAAGTAAGGGAGGAGGAGAAGGAAGGAAATACCCTGTGACTGGAAGAGGCCATTTCTGCTCTTGTGTAGCTACAAGCTACAGTGTGTTAGGGACAAGGTTGGTGGGTTGTTGAGAGTCTGGGAGATACTTAGATCCAGCCTGTGGAGGTGCCACCCTCAGGGTCAAGCAGCAGCCATGTTAAGCTCTTCAGGAGAACGCTCCAGATACAGGAGACCTCTTGATGAAAGCTCCTAGGCACCAAAGAGCTTGGCTTATAGTAGGGTCCGTGGGGATGCAGCATGGCTGGGGTGGGATGAGCAGAGAGGAATGAGGTTAGAGTCAGAATTGTGGAGACCAGTCAGAATTTTATTCCTAAAGGAACCAATAAAAAGTCTTTTATTTTCATTTGTGGAATATCAGCCTGATGATTTGGGAGCATGGGGTTGCAGAGAGGCAAGATAGGCCTAGGAACTTTCGCAATGGCCTAGAATGGCCGTAACTGTGGGCTGGGCAAGGCTGTGGGGAGAGAAGGGCAGAGATGACGGTGGTGGAGTGAGTGCATGATTGACAGCGCCTGAATTAACCGGTGTATCAGACTGATGCTCACACAGACTGAGCTCTAGCAACTGGGCAGAGGTGAAGCCATCTGGAGCTGAGTGTGAGGGACGCCCGGATTGAGGGATGGAATTCTAAAGGGTTAGCTCAGGTGGGCTTCCCTGAGTGTTTGTAAGTTGATCTGCTCCCACACATCATTTCTTCATCCTGCAGCTCCGTGGGAAGGGACCCATGAGCCAGAGCTGCCCTTGCAGAAGTCCCAGAGGCAAGCAAGAGCTGAGGATCAGGTTTGAGGATGGCCACCTTGGTTTCCCCAGCCTGGGCAGTAAGGAGGCTATAGGGTATCCTCCTTGTTAGAGGAAAGAAAAAAAAAAGAGAGATTTGTTTTACTTTATTTATTTCCACCTTCCCCCAGATTTATTTTTAATGTATATTATGGGTGTTATGCACAGAGGCCAGGAGCTGGTGTCAGATCCTCTGGAGCTGGAGTTACAGGCAGTTGTGAGCTGCCTGACATTGGTTCTGGGAACCAAATCCCAGTCCTCTGAAAGAGCAGCAAACACTTCTTAACCATTGGGCCGTTTCTCCAGCCCTTTACTTGCTTGGGCAATTAAAGGCAGACCCCAAACAAGAAGACTCGCTTGGTCCCTTGTCACTAAAGCTGCTTCCAGAGGTGAGTTAAGTGTCCTTGGTGCTTGAGAGTCACCCAGCTCCTATTCACCTCCACCAAGCTCTCAGCATGGCTCCCTCCAATACTTTGCTTCCCAGAGGCAGGGATGGACATGCCATGTGTCAGCCCATGGAGATGGGGCAGGGGTCATGCTGTCATCTGTTGTTGTTTTTCCAAACATGCTGGTAGAAGAAAGTTGACTCTCAATGTACATCTCAGGTGGCTGGCGTGGTGTTAAGGCTGAAGCTGGGCCACTGACCTGTCCAGAGTGATGGAATCTCTTGGGCCCTTCGGCAGAACACAGAGGCTGCGGTGTAGGAAATTTGGATGTGAGTTGGCTGGGGGAATGGGAATACAAGATGTGGGCCAACCCTGTGATATATCCGTTGCCTGCCCTGGCTCAGAGGCCTCAGGTTCCTGGCAGTGTAGGGGTGGTGCTACTTCCTACTCTAAGCTGGTCCATGAAGAGACAGATCTGCCTCCCAGGAAGAAGGTTCCTCTACCCCCCTTAGCTACCAACCATTAGGTTCAGGGATCAACTTCAGACATGTCCCTGTCATGTTTTCAAAACCAGTTCCCCGGGGTAGGACTAATAAATCTCCTGGCCCCGATAACCCTTTGCACTGTATGCCTCATATTTGGGTCAGAAAACTCATGCCTGGGGGCATGAACGTGCAGCACCAAAGCCTTTGGCAGACTCGATGCCTTCCCAGATCTTGAGCAATACAATTTCCCTTGTTTTTTGTTTTTTGTTTTTTTGTTTTTTGTTTTTTTTTTTTTTGTTTTGTTTTTTTTTCCAGGCAGAGTTTCTCAGTAGCTATGGAGCCAGTCCTGGAACTAGCTCTGTAAACCAGGCTGGCCTCAAATTCACAAAGATCCACCTGCCTCTGCTTCCCGAGTGCTGGAATTAAAGGCTTTCACCACTGTCGCCCCAGGAGCAGTACAATTTCTTAGAGGTCTGTGTTGACTTCTAATAGCAAGACATACTTCTCTGGGCCCACCCTGGATGCCCAGAAATCTGAGCACGCAAGTTTTGGTCCTGAAGATGCAAGCCTAGGTCCTGGGGACGCGAGCCCAGACTCTGACTGTGGAATAGGTCCACGACTGACCTCGGAGCTCGCTGGAGTGGAACTTCCTGGCTGCCAGCTAAGCTCGGCTGAGGCTCTGAAAGCCAATCTGACAGCTTGGAGTCACACAGTCGCCCAGCCCTGAGGCTCTGTCCGCCACCTCCGCATCCAGCCCAAAACAGCTGGCCGGAAATGACGGCGCACGCGCTGGCAGCGCTGACGTTGGAGGTCCGGCGCCTGTAGTCACACCATCCTCTCCAGAAGAGGTTGAGGGCGTCTCACTTCCATCTCCGTGCCCTCCTGTGCCAGGATTAAAGTGAAAGAGGCGACACTAGGGATCTTTCTTTGGGATTTTTCACCTCTTCTGCAGGCGATGCTCCCTCCCCGTCCCCGTTCCCGATCATTCTAAGGGACAAACGGCACCCAATGATCCCTATCTGTCCTTTCTACCAGTATGAGGTCAGCGCCTGGCAGAGTAAAGCACTCAATACATCTGAATGGGTGAGGTCATCTGGTGTTCCTCCGCCCTCCCCCCTTGCACTGCTCTGAAAGAGGAGTTTTAGATTCTCACAGACCTTCTGGAAGGAAGTGCTTCCATGTGCGAGCCTCAGAGTGCTGGGAATAAAGAGCCTTCCTGAGTGCTGGGAGTAAAGCTGTGCACCACCTTGCCTGGCTCTACTTATCTTTTCTGGAAACAGGTTCTTGTGTATCCCAGGCTAGTCTCAAACTGTAGTCAAGGATGACCCTGAACTGTTTTTTAAAATTACAGAGGGTTGTGAGCTGCCATGTGGGTGCTGGGAATCGAATCAGGGTCCTCTGGAAGCACCCAGAGCTCCTAACCCCTGAGCAATCTCTCCAGCCCCGACCCTGAACTTCGTGATCCCTGAGTCTCTACTTCCCAAGTGCTGAGATTCCAGGGATACACCATCACTCTGGATGTATGCAGTGTTGGGGTCTGAAGCTGGCCTTTGTGGCTGCAACATTGTACCAGCTCAGCTAATTCCTAGCCTTTTCGTGTGTTTGGTTTTTGTTTGTTTTGTTTGTAGCCCAGGTTGTCTTCCAATTTACTGTGTGGTTGAGGATGACCTTGGATCCTAACCCTCCTTCATTCATTCACCTCCCAAAGGCTGGAATTACAGATTTGAGCCACCATGCCCAGTTAATTAACACACTTTTAAAGCTGTTCTTGGCCCTCACTGGTGGGACTCCTGAGGTAGCTGGCTGGGGAGGCCTGCACAGGAACCTTGCCTCTTGGCTGGGGGTTTGGGGGTGTGTGGGGAAAGGGCCAGGCTTTGCACTTCTGAAGGAGAGACCTGTAGAGAAGTCCCAGGGCACAGTGCTTCACTCTGGCTGCTCTGGCTCTAACTGTATCGTACCCAGTCACATCACAGCACGTTGTACCATCGCCTGGGATGTCCGAGAACTCCTTGAGGGCAGGCCTTTTGTGGCACATGGCTGGTATCCAGTCAGAACAGACATTCTAAAAATCATGGCAGAAGCAAACTCCTTGGCTTTCTTCACCCTTTTTCCTGGGACCCTCTCCTTATTGCTTCACCCCAGGGCCCCTGAAAAACTCCAAGGAGAATGAAAGATGACTTTGAAAACAGCTGGTCAAAATGTGTCATTCCCATGGCCCCCAGTGGAATGCAAATTACCCAAGACTTCATAAAATCAGTGTGTTGAGAGCAGGGCTGCAGGGAGCAAGACAGGTGCAGTCCCTGCTCATGCAAAACTTAGAGACAGAAGTAGAGACAGGCATGGAACAAAAATGCAAAAAATATACATATGTATGTATTGAAAGTGGCGTGCATGCCTGTGTGGCTCAGAGTTAAGAATGAATATTTCTCTTGCAGAGGACCTGAGTTCAGTTTCTTGTTGGTCAGTTCACAATAGCCTGTGACTCCAGCTCTGAGGAATTTCACACCATCTTTTGTACTCTGTAGGTATTGTACTCACATATACATATACCAACACACACACACACACACACACACACACACACACACACACACACAAACAACTAAAAAGGAGTTAAATCTTAGATAAAACAAAACAACATAGCCTGGCGTTGGTGGTGCACGCCTTTAATCCCAGCTCTCAGGAGGCAGAGGCAGGTGGATCTCTATGAGTTCGAAGCCAGCCTAGTCTACGGAGCGAGTTCCAGGACAGGCTCCAAAGCTACAGAGAAACCCTGTCTCGAAACCCACCCCCACCCCAAACAAAACAAAACAAAACAAAAACAGATGATTAATTCATCTGTATGGTGCTAGATTTGTTGTCCCTCCATAGAGAGGTGGGCTCTAGGTCCCCTTCCCTTGAATCCAGTGGGCTGTGACTATTGATCTATGCAGTAGTATGGTACAGTGATTTTGTGTGTTACTTTCCAGGCTTGGCACTAATGGGCCTTGTAGCTTCCCCTGTTCTCTGGGAACACCCTCTTGTCATACACACTTTTGGGGTGTCTCTTTTCAGCTCAATGTCCTTGCTTCTGGGGCCCAAGTCATAAGGCAAGGCCACAGGTCAGTGTATTTTTAAACATTATTTTATTTATGTGTGTCTGTGTGGATGTATGCTGTGTATGTCGGCTGGATGAAGGTGTTGAATCTCCTGGATCTGGAGCTGCAGGCTGTGTGTGAGCTGCTGGACGCGGGTGCACTCTTAGCCACTGAGCCTCTCTTCATCCCCACGTGCCAGTATTTTATCTTCAGACGCAGCTGAGCCTAGCCTTTGGCCTGGATGTGTGAATGTAGAAGTTCCCAGGCGGTTCCATCTCCCAGCGGTTCTGAGATAACCCTGCTGCAGCCATTCCAGTCTTCCCAGCTGAGACCCAGGCAGGAGATGGAGACCAGCTGCCTCCCAATTGAGTCTCTAACCCAGGGAATTTAAGAGACAGTGAAATGGGTATTGTTTTATGCCATTTGGTGGGGAAGTTGTTTTGTGGAAATGCTCCTTTAAAATGGCCATCAGATTGACAACCGGATTCCAGGACTCTAAGTGCATTCTCTACCTCCGCCCTTGCTGCTACTGCTTTGGTTCAGCCCTATCCACTCTCCCCCCAACTTACTGTCAGCATTCAGCTTACTTTGTTCCTTCTGCTTCAGCCAGGACAGGACCTAATGCCATCTGGTGACATCATTTCTCCACTTCAAAGGCTTTTTATTGGTCGTGCAATAAAATTAAAGCTTATCGGGTTGTATGTAGCTCTCTATAGTCAGCTCCTGGGATATTTCAAATGTTATCTCTCATCACCCCCTGCCCCCCTCCCCAGGTCCCTGGATGTCATACCAGGCTCTCTATGCTCCAGGCCTTCCTGTCACCACTGCCCCCTCCCCCACATCCCTGGATGTTATACCAGGCTCCCTATGCTCCAGGCCTCCCTTTGCTTGTTCTCCCTAACAGCTGGACGCTGAAAATTTTCCACTTGCCTGTGTATATTTCTATCTGTCTCTTCCACCTTGTTTCACACCTGGATGGCTGAGCTTTCTTGGGTTCTCATCAATGGGTTCTCTTATCTTTCTCCTTTCTGGGGGTTCACCTGATTGGCAGGAAGCAAAAGAGGAGTAAGTGGGGTGTCCATTTAATATCTCATTCTCTTCTGGAAGACTACAGCTTCTGTTGGAATTTTCCTATGGAGGGATCCCTTTCCCCGGGTTCCAGCAACTATTTCTTTTCCTGCCCCTTAGGGGTCTCAGTTACCCATTCTGCCCCCATAATGCTTCCCTGTGAGTAGCCTCTTGAGCACTCTTTGGGTACCCTGTCTTCTGTCTGTGTCCAGCTGGGTTCCTCACAAACCATTCATTCACCCCCTCCCCTGTCCAGTTTTTCCTTACCTGTTTCTCCCAGGGTCCCTGGGCAGACATTTACTTCTGATGTCATAGCTCTCAGGCCTGTATTGTTGCCCTTTGTGTCTCGTTCTCTTAACAGCAGAAACATGCACAGGGTCCTAGCCCCTTTAGTGGTACCCAGCACCTAGCAGGTTCTAAGTCAGTGTTTGTTGGATGAATGATGGTTGAGCTTAGAGAAAGGACTCTGGAGAGGGCCACAGGAGCAAGACTTTTATCCTGGGCACAAAACAAGTACGTAACATACTTTCTCATAGCCAAAACACTTCTAGAAGATTGTCACATTGAAGAGGATTTCTGTTAAGTGTTCAAAAGTGCTATTTTATTTGCTGATGGTATGTGTAGGCACACAGATTATTTTCTTAAAATGTTTACTGTAAAAACTTTACATGTATACAACAGTAGAGAAAATAGTGTGTTGAGTTAATTTCTTTGCTGCAACAGCTTTTATTTTTCTTTATTTGTTTGTAGGGCTGGGGATGGAACCCAGGATCTCATGCGTGCTAAGGAAGCAGTGTACCAACTAAGCTATAGCCCATGTTCATTGTCCTTCTATTTTAAAGTCAGGTTTATTGAGGTGAAATTTACATACAGTAAAGCTCACTCTCGAGACATACAGTTATGAGAACAATCAAACCGAAGGTTTTCATTGCCCCACAAAGTCCCCTCGTTATCTTTCTGAATTCCACTTCCAGCTCATGGCAACTACTGGTTTGTTTTCTGCTCCCACGGCTCCACTGTTTCCAGAATGTCTATAAACCATAATGCAGAATATTATAGCCAGAAATATTGTACACATTGTAATCCCAACAGGCAGAGTTGGAAGCAGGAAGATCAGAAATTCAAGGCTAGTCTCAGGTACATGATGAGTTCCAGGCCAGACTGAGCTACCTGAGACCCTGTCTCCAGATAAACACACAAACAAAGAAATAAAAATAATCTGTCAGTTAATCAGTTAATAGCTGATCCCACCAACCAACTAAGCCACAGAAGCAGATTAATCTCCCACTATCTTAGGGCAAGCTGGAAAATTAAAAATTTGACGGCCTGCTTAGGAGTTTCTGAGAAGGCCACCAGCCAATGGCATTGGTGCTTCTTGCTGTGGCATGTTCCCAGATATTTTTTGTTTGTTTGTTTGAGACAGAGTGTCATTATGTAGCTCTGGCTGGCTGGCCTAGAGCCAACTATGTAGAACAGGATGACTTTGAACTCAAGGAGATCCACCTGCCTCTGCCTTTTGTGTGCTGGGAATAAAGGCCGGTGCTACCAAACCTGGCTATGTGGTATGTTTGTTTATTTATTCTTACTAATAAGGAAATCATTTATTATTTTGGAGTGACAAAGAAAAGCCCTGGGC